AGTACAAGCATTGTTCAATTTTAAGAAGGATCGTAGTATATACATTGTTGGATTCTAGGAATAATCCCAGTTGAAACAGTTGAAATCCTTTAGACTCTTGATGACATCCTGATGCAATCTTAAGAAATTTTGATAACATCCTGGTGAAATCTGTTCAAAATGTCGATTCTATCTTTGGAAAATCTTTAGAATTCTTGATGAAATCCTTGGGAAATCTTCAGAAATCTTAATGAAATCTTTGTGAAATCTTCAGAAATCTCGACGAAATCCTTGAGAAATCTTTAGAAATCTTGAGGAAAATTGGATGAAATTGTCAGAAATCTCTAGTAAATCTGTGGAAATTTTGAGAATGCTAGAATGAAATATGTGTGAAATGTTGATTGAATCCTTGTGCAATCGAAACAGATTCAGCCAACTTCTGATGAAATCCGACTGTATTCTGTCGGAGCCTTACGTTATCAGGCGTTTCTCTGTGAAAGGATCCTGGTGGTTACGGCATTATCTGACAAACAGTTCCGACAGGATCCGATCGGATCCTTTCCGACGTAATCCGGTCCGGAATCCGTTAGTTAGGAATCCTGTGAAATACAGTTGGGTTCCGATCGGATTTAGTTGGGAACCCGACGAATTCCGGTGTGATCCGACATCGGATCCGATAGTTTCCGGTAGGATCTACAGGTCGGATTGAATCACCTGGGCATTTTATTTTATTGTTTTCATATTGACTTGATTTAATTTTGAGTTGTTGAGACCAATACCTAAAATATAAAAAGATCAATCGAAGTCTTACTACCTTCGAAATGATCTTTAAGAAAAAAAGAAAACTAATACCTACATTTTTAGTTTTGATTGTATTGTATTGTATTGTATTGATATTGAATTGATTAATCTTGAGTCTTTGAAAAGTAACCTAAAATATAAAAGAAAAAAGGTTAGAATATGATTCAAATAATTGAATGATATTTTAATCGAAAATCATTCATTTTTATAGACATTTCAATACATTTTTTCTCCGTTCAAATAATAATTAGATCATAATAATTATGGACGAGAAAAAATAAATCGTCCGGTCATCGTCATTTTATTTCTTTTTTCTCGCACATTTTATTTTTCATAAGAGAGAACGAGAGATTAGAATTGTCGAGATCACAATTAAGTGTCATTTTATGGAATGTGATCGTAAAACAATAATACAACTAAAAACAGTTGAAAAAACCTTATTTAATAAATAATAAATATGATAGAAAAATCGAATATCAATAAGAAAGTAAATTTGTATCTTTTTGTTTTTTTATAAATAGTTTATTGTATTTATCATTATTGAAAAAAAATCTAATTATTCTATTATAAATCTATATTTTATTTAGACTACATTCATCAGCACAATGATTTATATCATCGATATTTTTCAAATGATTGAGAATGAATTCTTCACTGAAGATTTATCATAGAATTCATCCATTTTCAAAAAAACAAAAGATTATGTTATATGATAAATATTTAGATGATCTTATTTATTCAATTTATTCTCAAATTTTTGTAAGTAGTAGTAGTGACATGTATTGTTCAGTAAGAAATTATCATACGAATACAAAAAAAAGTTTTGTTCACATTTAAATGTTTATTTTATTTTTTTTGGGAGGAAAAGAAGAAAATGATCCAGCTCAAAATTATTTATCAAATTTCGTCAATAGCAACTACTAATTTGAATCATGTAAACGAACATTGAAATAACTCAAAGATACTATTTGAATAATATTGGCAACATAAATGAATTATATCTATTGCAAATGATAAAATTCTTATGGATATTGTTTATGAATGTATTGTTCATTCTTATTTAATATCAACAAAGCAATTGATTTTGTTGTCACATTTACTATTACATCTGGAAGAGAGTTAGTCGAATAAATACATATGACTTCTTACATGTATGGATATGTTGCTTATAGATTTATTTGAAAATAGTATCCATTTAACAAAACAAATTTTAAAAATTCATCATCTCTATCCATTTTTAAGATTATTATCGAATATGAATAATTCAACATTGTTTTATTGATTTACAACAATGAAATAATAACAAATTATACAAATTTAATTAATTTATTACTTCAATTAAAACAAACGAAATACACAAAAATATTAATATATTGTTATTCATCAATATTATTTCATTTATTTAGTTTTTTGGTTCATCTTCGACATCAAATAATACATTACAAAAAAAACTTGGAAATTTTTTAATCAAGAAATATTATTATAAAATTATTAAGAATTACAAAGAAACATTTAATATCTATTATAGAAAATAAAAAGATAGGTAGATCATGGGATTTTCTTTTTTGAAATTTATTCAAATCTGAAAACTATATTCAATGTTTAGTTAATCAATGGACACAAACAACTTTATTTAATTTATTTGAATTAGTCATCAATTTTATCATGATTTAAAAGAAATTAAAATTATATATATTTACTATGAATATTATTTTAATAATCAATTAAATACGTTATTAGATATAGTTAATTGAAAATAATTTACAATTATCATTTGAAG